AGCAGAATTCTGCTCGTGGATTAACTCTCGGATTGACTGACAGCAAATTTCCTCCTGAAGAGAGCTGCTTTTGTTCAGGGATATGAGCGTGCAGCGCGATGCGACAACATGGTGAAATAAAACTGCCTTTTCGGTGATCAGAAAGGTAGAACTTGTAAACACTTCCTGGAGAGAAGTGAAGGAGACGAAGCTGAGCAGATCACAGGAGGTTTCCAACAAACTGACCGCCCCAAAGTTACACAACCACTAAACAGCACCGTGATAATTAATTAATTAATTAAAAGTGAAGTCTGAACGGTAAGACCACAACGGCTTTTTTATTTTATTTTATTTTTAACACAACAGCTGAAGCCGCTGCAGACGGTCCAYAAATTATCACACATCCACTGCGAGGAGACACACGGACACTGAGCAGAACCGACCCGACCCAAAGTGAATCGAGTAGAACCGAGTTCATGGAGAGAGGCTAACAGGTGCCGCTGCAGTTAACCGTTATATATTATATATTATAGTTGAGATGTTGAAAGCAAAACGGTCCAAAGTGTGGTGTCACTTTACAAAATAAGATGCAGAAACTTCCACCTACAACAAATGATTTAAGAATATTTTGTRCGAAGACAAATTATYAACTTTTAAATTAACATGTTGGTCAATTTCAAGTTTGACTTTGACTCAGAAATAGTCATTGCTTCATAAACCTCTGTGTGAGTTTGAGAGTCTGTGTGAGTCTGAGTGTTTATTTATTTATTTATTTACTTTTTAAGTACCGATTTAAATACCGTTTAGGAACCGGTACCGTTTGGAGAGTATCGATTTAGCACCGGTATCAAAATAAACCCTTTCAATRCCCAACCCTATCAGATATAGGTCAGTGAACACACCTCAGCTACAGGTCAATCAGGTCAGTGAACACACCTCAGCTACAGGTCAGTGAACACACCTCAGCTACAGGTCAGTGAACNCAGGTCAGTGAACACACCTCAGCTACAGGTCAGTGAACACACCTCAGCTACAGGTCAGTGAACGCACCTCAGCTACAGGTCAGTGAACGCACCTGAGCGATGAACGGAGCAATCATTCCTCCGATCCGACTGAATGAGGTGCAGAAACCCATCCCGAGAGACCGGGCCACGGTCGGGTACACCTGAGAGGAAACAACACACATGAGAACCTGAACCAGACTCAAGAACCCCCTAATAAACCCAGGATTCTGGGTCCAGAACCAGCAAGAAGGACCTGCTGTACCTCAGCTGTGTAAATGTAAACCACGTTGAAATTCATGGAGACCAGAGACCGGAGCAGGAAAAGCAGGACCGTGAAACCAAACCTGCAGGAGGAAAAACTTTCAGTCTTGAATCCATTGTAAACCTGGTCCCAGGACCATCTGGACCCTCAGATCAGGAGACCAGGTTCAGGTCTTACATGGTGGTGCAAATGTTGACCATCATGAAGAGAAAGGCCGTTATCAGCTGAAGGACCGTCAGAGTGGTCTTCCGTCCAAACACGTTGAGCAGAGCGATGTTTAATGGGACCACTGTAGGGACAGAGGACAGTGACCTTGTCAGACAGGAGACCTGGTCCAGGACTACAGGCTGAAGGATCCTTACAGAGTCACTGGTTACAGATAAAAAAGTTTATTTAAAATTTTATGACGGAAGTTAAATTGAGTGAGTTTGGACCTGTGTGCTCAGTGCTGCCTCTAGAGGACAAAGTGAGTATTACATCCAGATTTCACTGAAGGAACCAAGAACCCCACAGCAGGTCCTAAACCCTTTATGTCCCCACAGTTCCTGACTCACGTGCGACTTCTCCCAGAGAACTGATGAGGAGGGTCTGGTAGTCTCCGGTTCCAAAGGGGATGCAGTAACACAGCCCGTCCTGGTGGCGGTGTTTAACCTGGTGCTCCGGGTCAGCGTTGGTCACACACAGCAGGTTCTTCTCCAGCAGCTCCGAACTGCTCAGAACCGAACCGTAGTACGCAAAGGACGCCACGAACCTACGGACCAAACACAAAACTGAGGTCTGGTTCTGATCAGGACCACATCAAGATGAACAAGTTCTGACTCTCAGAACAACAGGAAAGTCCATGAACTCAGTGAAGACCAGTGAAGAAGACACAAAGTGTCCCGGTCTGAAAGAAGACACAAAGTGTCCCAGTCCAAAGAAGACCCAAAGTGTCCCGGTCCAAAGAAGACCCAAAGTGTCCCAGTCCAAAGAAGACCCAAAGTGTCCCAGTCCAAAGAAGACCCAAAGTGTCCCAGTCCAAAGAAGACCCAAAGTGTCCCAGTCCAAAGAAGACCCAA